ACCTGGCCATTTTTTGGTTGCAGCCATCATTGTTGTTTGGCGGGCCCGGGCTGGGGATTTGAACCCGCCACTTGAGCCATAGGCATCAAGCCCACAGAATGAATAATTAAGAAAAGTTTATTTAGCTCATGGTCCTGAAGGTCTGAGAAGTTCGAGAGCATGGCACCAACATCTAGTAAATACCTTCTTGCTGCATCATAACATGATGGAAGGTATCACATGGCAGGAGAAGGGAAGAGCAAGAAAGCCAGAGAGAGCTGTGTTTATAGCAAAACCATTTTTACAATAAAGAACCCATTAATCCATTCACAAGAGCAAAGAGACTAAGTTTCCAACACATGAATTTTTGGAAGACCTGTTAAAATCATAGCACTTATATGAACATCTAATACTTAAAATAGGCTATTTTAAGCTGATAACAACTTAACTGTAATTATAAACAGAAACTCTACATTTTCACTCCCTTCTACCCATCTTTTGTGATTTTGATGTCAAAATTTGCTGTTTTTGTGATCTGTGTCTCTAATAATTTATTGTACATTTGTTTTTAAGAGTTTATAACTGTCATAGTAGAGATAAAATTGCTTTACATGCAATTCTGAATGTGACTATTACTTATGCTATTGAGTTGTTTGCTTTCATGCTTTATGTTATTAGTAGCCTTTTGTTTCAGCTTAGAGAACTTCCTTTTGTAATTCCTGTAAGGTAGGCCTAGTGGTGATAAACTCCTTTCACTTTTGTTTATTTGGGGAAGTTTTAATTTCTCCTTTTTTTTATATCTCCCTCATTTGTAAAGGATAGCTTTGCTGGGTACAGTATCGTTGGCTGGCACTTTTCTTTCTTTAGCATGATTTTAATAAGTTTTCCAAAAGTTCATGTGTTGGAAACTTAGTCCCTTTGCCCTTGTGAATGGATTTATGGGTTCTTTATTGTAAAAATGGTTTTGTTATAAACACAGCTCTCTCTGGCTTTCTTGCTCTTCCCCTCTTGCCATGTGATACCTTTGAATACACATTTCACTCTCCCCTAGCTTGTAGGGTTTCTGCTGAGAAATTCATTGATAGCAATATTGGGACTCTTTTAAATGTAGTATATTTCTTACTACTTGCTGCTTTCAGTCTTCCTTGTCTTTTTTTGACAATTTTATTATGATATGTATTGGTGAACTCTTTGACTAAATTTGATTGAAGACCTCTAAGATTCCTACAGCTGGATGTTGTCATATTTCCCAGATTTTAAAACTTTCAGTCATTATTTCCTTAAATATGCTTTTTGAGCTTTTCTCTCTCCTCTTTCTGAAACTCCCATTATGCATAATAGTGCCTCATAATTTCCATAGGCCTTCTTTATTCTTCTCTGACTGAATAATTTCAAGTGCTCTGTCTACAAGTTCACTGATTCTTTCTTCTGTTTGATCAAGTATGTTGTAGCTTTCTATTGAACTTTTTAGTTCAGTTATATTTTTGATTTCTAGGATTTCTATTTTTTATTGCCTGCATTTCTTTGCCTGGCACAGTTTTTAAATGCACACCAAAGGCTATTTTAAAAGTTATAATTCATATGGAAGGGTAAAAATTCAAGAGGAATAAGGCAGATAAAGTTTTCCTACAAGATAACAAATCTTTATGCTATAGTAATTTGACTTACAA